GTTCTCTTTCGGTATATTATACTCTTTCCATTCTTTCTTCTTTCTTCGACTGTTTATGTAGTTCCAAATTTTCTTTTCGTCCTTTAGTTTTCTTAATTCCTTTTCTTCCCTCACTCTCTTCTCCATCTTTTTGTTCTCTAGCCACCCCTTCAGGCATTTCTTTTCTTCCAAATAGTCTTCCTTACTTCCCTTTCCACATCTCCACCTTCTGTACTTTCTTTTCACCTCCCTCTTCTTTCTGGTACAACTCCTATCTCACCAATCTTTGTGCCCTGTTTTTCTTCTCTTTTTTAACTTAATTTCCTTATACACTAAGGCTCCAAGGATCCAGTTTTTGATTTTCCCCCATTTCTTATCCACCGACTCCATTTCCTGGTCCTCGGTTTTATTTCATACCTCCGTCCTCTCCCTGTATAATTTCCTTGCCTCTTCGTTCCACTCTATGATCTTCTTTGACATATTCCGTTCCTCTTCTTCCTCTTCTGTACACCCCTCCATTTGTCTCGTATTCTCCTCTTCCTCCAGTAACAAAGTCAGAGGCAAATGATCCGAGTCCACCCTGTCCCCTATTCTAAATTCCAACACTCGCTCTTGCGCACTATCGTTTACAATTGCATAATCAATTTGTAACGATGCGCCCCTTACGTCAAGGCATCGTCCCCGGCCACCACCCGCCGGGGGCCGCCCGACCGATCCTCCGTCGGGCGAGGACAAGGCGCGGTGCGCCCACAATTTTTTAATCTTTTGAAACGCACCGTGTGCGCGGAAAATCCGCCGCACCGGTGCCTTCCCGCACGACGCCGACGAGCGCCGAAGCGAGCCGATCCCCGCCGAAGCGAGCACGCGGGATCGCGCCGCTCCCACCACCGTGCCATCGCCTGACGATCGGCCTTCCTCCTGCCAAGCTCACCGCGCCGAGCGGTATAAAAAGCCGGGCGCGCTCGACGAAGAGACACTTCGTCTCTACCACGGCTCTCCGCTACTCCTGACGAAACCTACCTTCCAAATCCTAGGGCGACACGCAAAACGAGGTCCAGAGTTTTGGTCTTCTACTGAGAGTTCTCAGAGTGTCTTCGAGTTCCCTCACACTTACCCCGACGGCCACGGCACCGCGGGGTCGAGCGTGCTCGGCCTCGTAGCGAGGGTTCTCGCGACCGTAACCCCGGAATTCCGCCATCCTCCGGTGTACATATCGCGTTCCCGCCCGCGTTATCAGCTTTCTCGATATACCGCACCGGGTGCACCCGCACCGCGGTGCCGCGCCGCGACCGTATAGTACTGTACGTCCGCGTTCATCGGACTCTCCGTAACCGCGTCCCGTTCGTGTATAATATACCGCGTTTCGTTATGTTTTCGTAATCCACTGCGATGAACTCCGTTCGTATGTAATAGACCGCGCTCCGTTATTTTCTCGTAATATGCTGCGACAAACTCCGTTCGTATGTAATATACCGCGCTTCGTTATTTTCCCGTAATATACTGCGACGAACTCCGTTCGTACGGAATATACCACGCTATCCTGCGACGAACTCCGTTCGTATGTAATATACCGCGCTTCGTTATTTTCTCGTAATATCCTGCGACGAACTCCGTTCGTATGTTATTCGTTATTTTCTTATCCTGCGACGAACTCCGTTCGTATGTAATATACCGCGCTCCGTTATTTCCTTGTAATATACTTTGTATACCGCATCTCAAGTTAAATAAAGTAAAGGAATACGTGTGTATCGCAAATTGACTACTGTCTCTGGGCCTTTCATCGAACTCCCAATCCAGTGAACTAGGCCGCGTTCGATATAAAGTCAGGCCGTTACAAATTACCGACCACCCTCTCGCACCCTCATACGTATATTTCTTCTCCCAATCTCCCTCTGTACATCCATTCAAAAACTACCATCCTTTTTCATTTATCATATCCACAAAACTTCTGCCGCCATCTCCTATGACTTTATCTTTACTCTCCTTTTCAAAGTCATACTCCTCCTCCCTACAACCTCCTAAGTTTCCTATTCTAATATTAAAATCACCTCCTATAATAATATCTTCTCCTTCGCATCCTTCGCATTGCTCTGTTATTTTTGCCATTATCTCTTCAACATCTTTTTTTGCTCCTACATTATATACTGTAAAAATATTTAGCCCTTTTTCCTCTTTTACTATTCTCGTTCACGCAATTCTTTCTGTAATCATTATACTTTTATAATTCTCCACTTCCGCCATCCAGACTTTTCTAATACCTATTAGTAAACCTCCCTTCGCCCTACCCTTCCTTTTTTTCCTTACAACGTTATTGTTTTTCCAGATGTGCGTTTCTGGCAATCTACCCTTAATTCTATCCCATCCCTTTTTCTCTAACCATGTTTCACATAACCCTATAAAATCGAAACCTAATATGTAATTCCAACAATCTTTGTCCTGCCTCTCTATACCTGCTACATTCCAAAAAATTATCTTTCGCCCATTTTCTTTCTTCATCTGCTTCACTTTTCCGTCCTCCATTCGTGTTGTTTGCCTATTGTCCTCTTGAATGCCACGACTTACTGATACTCTTCTCCTAACTTAGCAGTCCTTTAGAAATTTTCCTTTTCTATTAGCTTATTTTCTTCCTCGCTCCATACATACTTTCTACCTTGTATCTTTAGCTTCCTAAAACCTATTTTCACCCATTTTCCTTCTGTTTTCTCTTTCCATGCACTTTCTTTTATCCGTCTTTGCACTTCTCTGTCCTCAAAGATAAAGTCGTGATCAATGAAAATTTTCTTACTTCCCAGCTTCTTCTTCTCCTTCATGATGTAATCCTTCGCTTCCCAGCAGTCCATTTCGACTATTATTATCTCTCTTCCTACTCTGCCTGTTGACCGCATCTTCTTCACTCCCGCTTTTGCACCAAACTCCCTCTCAAGAAACGTCTCCGCTGTGTCTATTAAGCTCTTATTTTCCTCTTTATGTAGTCCTCTGATCACTAAATTATTTTTCTTTTCTTTCTTTTCCTTCATATTTCTTTCTCTCTTCCTAACCATCTCCGCCACCTTTCCCACAATCTCCTCCATTTTGCCGCCGGTCGCCTCATCCGTTGTGTTTTCACTCCTTTGTTCGATCTTCGATAGCCTCTCTTCTAACTTATCCATCCTTTCCTCTACCTTTTCTTCTTTTTTTCTCCGACTTTCTTCTAAGACGTTCATCCTCTCTCTCATCTCTCTCATTTCGTCTTTCAGGTCCCTCATTTCGTTTCTAATCTCTCTCAAGACTGCTAATAGCGAACCGTCCTCTTCATCCTTCTTTGTTGCTGACAGAAATTCTTCCTTTTCTCTCTTCTTACCTACAGCACCGACTCCATCCTTTGCTTTGTCCATACCTGGTGGCGTTCTCACTATCTTGTTATCTCTCTTTAAAATTTCCATCGTACGTTGTTCGTTTTCCTCTCTTTTCCTCTTAACTTTCGCTAACTCGCATGCCGTACTGCTATCACTTGTCATAAAATCCAGTATGCTGAGCGAGCTCGATCTTTCTCTCATTCTTAATTCCTCCTTTGTAAGTCTTCTCTTTCCTTTTTTTTCTTCTTTTAGTGTGGCAAAAATTTCTTTACCCGTTTTCTCACTGCTTGAACTATCCGACACTGTAGCCGGATTCTCATCTTTATTCTTTATTGCTGCCTTCTCACTCTCGCCTGTCTCTCTCTCCATCCTGTACGTCCCTCGTGCACGCTCTCCTTCCAGCCAATCTCCTTAACCGCTACCTCTATGCCTAGACTGTTCCGTCTAGTGTCTAGTGTCGCTACCTACTCTATGCGTAACGCAAATCTCGCTCCCTTTTGGAACGCACAGCGATTTTCTCCCGCCTTCTCTCACCTAACCTCTCCCTCTCTCTAAAATATTTAGCGCTCTTTTCCTTCACTAATTAATATTTCCTTGCTGCATCTATTATCCTATCCTAAATTTAAGTTCTTTTTCCTACCTTTCTATCGGTTTAACGCTTACCTCGACTCCTATTTCCCTCTAAACTCTCGTCTAATTTACTTGCAACTCTCACACGCATGCACAACACACTCGCTCCACTAACCAAATCCATTTATTTGAAAATTAATAATTAGTGAAAAATAATTATTAATTTTTTCAATAATAAATAAATAGTCTTAGATAAATTACTTATTAATCAGTATATACAGAGTATATATGCGTACATCTGGATTAATTCGAATGCTTAGTCTCCATTTTTTGAAACATAAAATACTTTTATGCCACGACAGTAAAGTGCGGAATACAAGTTACCGAAAAATAATGTTCAAAAGACAAATCTTTAAATGAATTAGCAATCTTTAAATAATTTGAAAAGATAACACGAGATGTTAAATAAAATTCGCCATTTAACAATAACTTCTAAAGTAACAAGTTTAATCTACGGTGACCTAAATTTAAATGTGAAAAGAAATTAAATTGTTTTAATGAGTTCTCGAATCGTCCCCAATCAGAAATAGATATTAGTCACGTAGAAACAAATTTCCTAATTCGTCTGAGTAATTCGATACAAATGTTCTAGTTTAAATTTGACACTACTTTGTAAAATGTTAAGTTATTGTTTTCTCTACTCTACGATCAATATAGCAATCTTTATAAATTTTTTTCTTTCTAAATATAAATATTTTACACAATCGGAAAACTATTTTACAACATGAGTAAAGTGACAAAGTCAAAAAGCGAAATAATCAATTTTGACACGATTAAAGGGGATTATCAATGGCGATTGTATTAAACTCTAGTCCATACTGACTAAAAATCGCGGATTATGCGTGAAAATTGTAGAGTTTCTTGATAAGTCTTATGTACAGATGGATTCAAGTGTTTCTGGTTTCATTTGGTCCCATGCTACTTGTTCAGCATGTCCGTTCGTTACCAGTTCTTCAGTAAGGGAAATTAGCTTAAACAAAATTAATTAATTTTAATTAATTTGCGCATCTTCAAAGAGATTTTTGAAGTTTGGATAATAATAACTACTTATCTCATAATTTTGTATCATAAAATAAATATTTGCATAAATTTTAGTTTGAATGCGACCTTCAATCTGAGCTTGAGCAGCAACTCCCTTTGAGGAACAATTTTGTACCACATTGTAAGCTTCTGTCGACCATTTACCTGCAAAGGAGTAACATCAAAGTATAATTACATATCCAAAGATAAATAATTTTGAATAGAGTTGTATAATCTGGAAGAATAATACATATAACGTCAATATATAGTTACCGTTCTTTGGCTGAATATTTGCTAAAAAGATTTCGATGGCTTGGAAGGGTAGGCTCAAATAATTATATATCAATGGCCTACATTACGAATTACTAAACTGCCAGTAACCACCGTGATCAAATAATCGTACTACGCTTCTCTCTCCCGATGGATCTGGACGTTCAATGCATCCTCTAATCCATTTGTCGCTCCAATATACAGCCACGTAATCATCCTCTACAAAGTAAAAATGTATTGTATAATCATAATATCCTGATTTCTTTTTTGTTCAACGTGTTAAAATTATATCACTTACTGTTTAATACATCTGGAACTGGCAGCAATTCATTGTTATACCAACCAATACATCATGCTGTTTTCCAAATTTTGCAAAAGGAGAAATGGTAAATGAGTCGGAAGCTGAACGAAGAGCCAATTTGGCTTGACAGTGTGAGAGATATTAATGTCATTATTAACATTCTCAACCAGGGACAGGAGCCGTTGAATCGGGACATTATACACAACTTCTTCGATCACCTCGGCTATTGTCGCGATATACCGGGTGTCTGAGACCACCCGCCCACCCCTTTTCTTTCAAAAACTAAGCATTTTAGAGAAAAACGTTTCAGACAAAAATTGTATAGTTTTGAGGGGAACATAAGATGGTGTCATTGATTTGACCTTGGGTGGCATCGTTAAGGACAGGTCAAGGACACCTTCAGTTTCTTAAATGGAACTCCCTATTTTTTATTGCATATTCTTATAGCTTATGTCGAGAGCTTTCCAAAACACTAAATTAAGTATTTTTTCATTAAGTTCTTTTCGAGTTATAAGGCTTGAAAGTTACAATATTGTGACATAATATTTTGTTAAGTATTTATAATTCAAATTCCTTACTTTTTATTTTTGCAAACAATATGAATCAATTAATGTAAAAAAACAAAATTTTCTTACAGAAAAACTTGTTGTGTAAGAGCGTAATGTGGCTCAGTAGATAGCGCACTAATCTACAAAGCTGAAGAACAAATTTAATGCCATTTATAATGAGTGTAATTCTTGTACCGTTGTTAAGAACAATGTCTAAAATACCTGGAATAAACTATTGCGCGCTGTGTAATTTCTGTAGGCATTCATATTCATGCATTAAGTTTCATTCTTACAGAATGTCTATTCACCAAGTACATATTGAATTACTTTCAACAAAGACTTAAATTTAGCGTATATCATGAAAGAAGAGTACCGATTTTTTATTGCGTGATTCATAGTTGTTGAAAAAGCACCCCGAATCGTGAGAGACAAGGGGACTCACGCAAATCAAGCACCCCGAATCGTGAGAAGCTAAGAAAATAATGAATATGCAATAAACAGTTACACAAGTTTTTTTTTTAGAAAATTGTGTTTTCTTTACATTAATTAATTCGTATTGTTTGCAAAAATAAAAAGTAGGGAATTTGAATTATAAATACACTCCTCACAAAAATTAAAGGAACACTTTTCTTAAAAACTAGGCAAAGTTTCAGCAGCTGTATCTTCGTTAAAAATGAACAAAATTTAAGTTTTAAAAAAGGGTTTCAAAGCTTGAAATCTCTACTTTCAGAAGATCACTATTTTCTTTTAGTTTCTGTGAGTTTGGCAATTTTTACATATAGAAAACCACGAGCTGGACAAAATGGAAAAATTTTTTCTCACTTTGTGTGCCTGTCACGTGCAAAAAAAAAATCTGCACAAATTTTCAACTTTTTAATGTGAAAGCTTGAAGTTTTCCCTACAAAATTTTTTTCTGAAAATGTTTCTACGATTTTTTGTTACTGAGTTATCGCGGATTGAATAAGAAATGAGCATTTTGACTTTGATTGCTCATAACTCCGTTAAAAATCATCGTACCGCAATTCGCAAAATGGACTCTTAAAGCTAAAACTTTGCTCTATCAAGTGGTATAATCGCCAATTTTTTCATAAAAATTTTTGAATACATTACAAGTGAGTAAAAATATCGTAAAAATTTGCAATTTTTTACTTTCTTATTTAGATCCAAAAAACAATTGTGCAGAACAACAACAAAAATTTATTCTTTGCGTTTTTTTGTACTTTTAAGTATCCTACATTTTAAAAAAATTTGCCGAATAGCTATGAGACTTTCTTCATGGTGGCCACTATGGTTTTACGAGGCAAAACGTACAAAAAATTGTGAAATTGCTTAATTTCAGTAAAAATCAAGAAAAAGAAATTAAAAATAACGTTTGGCGGACGTTAAAAAACTGTTTTCAATTACGCTGACAATACATTGAAGATGAGTAAGTGTCAGCATAGGCTAGAAAGACTTTTTTAAATAAGAAATTAATGTTTTGTGTTTTCGAAATTTGAAAAAATACCGCCGGCATTACCCAAAGAGTACCACGAGGAGGTTGCCCGGTTGGATTTACGCTTATCGGTTTTGCATATTGATACAACGCTGTATCACTATTTGAGGGATTTGCTGCCAAATTTCTTGAAGGGCTCTGGCAAGTAAAGCCAAATCGGGAATATTACGATAATTTTCGCGCAATCTTTGCCCTAACATGTCCCAAATATGCTCGATTGGATTCAAATCGGGACTCATTGCATCCGCCAATGAGTCTCGATACGGCGTTGTATCAATATGCAAAACCGATTACGAGAGGTCATATTGAATAGAGGCGGGAACACACATTATTAAATTTATTTTACCACCTACGACCATCCATCCACTCACCCACATACGCACGCATGTACGTACGCATGCACGTACGCGCGCGCACACAAACTTACACACACACACACACACACACACACGTACGCATAACGAAGCGTAAATCCAACCGGGCAACCTCCTCGTGGTACGCTTTGGGTAACGCTAATGCCGGCAGTATTTTTTCAAATTTTGAAAACACAAAACATTAATTTCTTATTAAAAAAAAGTCTTTCTAGTCTATGCTGACACTTACTCATCTTTAATATATTGTCAGCGTAATTGAAAACAATTTTTTAACGTCCGCCAAACGTTATTTTTAATTTTTTTCTTTGATTTTTACTGAAATTAAGCAATTTCACAATTTTTTGTACGTTTTGCCTCGTAAAACAATAGTGGCCAGTAGGTAAGCTAGGCCGGTTCTAAGCCATGGGGCAATGAGGGGGGGTGAGGGGCGGGGGGAAACCGCGGGCGGGGGGGAGACCGCGGGCGGAAGAGGCAGCGGGGGAGGGGGAAACCGCGCGTTTCGGCGCCGCGGGGAGGGGGAGGGGGGACCCGCGCGTTTCGGCGCCGCGGGGCAGGGAGAGGAGGGGAACCGCGATTTCGGCGCCGCGGGGTGAGGGGGTCTGCGTTTTCCGACGCCGCGGGGTGAGGGGGTCCGCGTTTTCCGGCGCCGCGGGGCGACCGCGTTTCCGCCGCGCGGCGGGGCGAGGGGGGATCCGCGTTTTCGCCGCGCCGCGGAGCGTTTGCGTTTTCGGGCCGCGCGGGGCGAGGGGACCCGCGTTCGCGTTTCGCCGCGCCACGGAGTCCGCGTGACGTCACACGGCACGCTCGCGTTATCTCTCCCTCGTAGATGTTTCTTTCCCGTCCCCCATTCGTCTTCTCGTTCGCGCGGTGTCTTGCCCCCGTCCCCCCCCCCCC